AGTGATGTTGTCATCCGACCCCTTGGCATCCGATGTTGTGTGAGTGATGTTGTGTGTTGTGTGTGAGATCTTGTTGTGAGAGATGTTGTGTGAGAGATGTTGTGTGAGTGATGTTGTATGCAAGACGTTGTGTGTGGGATGTTGTTGTGAGAGATGTTGTGTGAGAGAGGTTGTAGTTAGAGAGGAGGAGGGAGGAAGGAGGAGGAGCGAGGACGGAGGAGGAGCGAGGACGGAGGAGGAGCGAGGAGGCGCAGCCAAAAAAACAAGAACCCCACACAAACATAATCCCTTATTTAGTTTAAAAAGGGCAAAGGAAAAAAGACAGAAAAATACAGAAAATGTACCACACTTGAGGTCAACCAAGGACAGAAAATGCGTCAGTTTTAATGCCTGGGGGGGGGCACAGCCATCTCATGCTGCCTGTCCATCAGCTTTTCTGGGCAGCAGTTTTTGCTCAAAGCACCAAGGTTCAGCAAAGGTATAGCACAGGTTTTTGGACAGCCATGCCACCACAGAAGAAGCCAGCAACCAAAGCTGAAATGGAAGTGGCTGGGCGAAACATGAGAAGGTCACTCCAAAAAAGCCTGAGCCAAAGACTCCAGAGGCCCCAAAGGCACCAGAGCCTGGCAAGGCTCCAGAGCCTGTGGCCAAGGCCAAGGCTGCCCCAAAAAGGCAAACCACAAGGGCTTGGGCAGATATGAAGTACTAGTTGAAAGCAACGCCTGCAAAACAGGCACAATTTGATAAGTGCCAGACAAACCAGGAGAAGCGGGAGTTCTACTATAATGTCTTCCTGCTGGACCCCAATGCCAACCAGAAATCTGTGCACAAGGAATGCCTGGAAAAGCAAACCACCACCAACACACAGGTGGTGGGATGGATGACAAAGTGGGAGATCGGGAAGTTGCAGGGAGCTCATGAGTTTGAGAGCCTGTGCAATCAGGCTGTGGAAGGCCTGGAAGAAAGGCCCCATGAGGTCAAAGCCTGGGCTGCCACTGGTATGAAACAATACCACATCACAAAGGATCTGGCCACCAAAATGAAGAAGGACAATGAAAGCCTGGTTGAGGCTCAAGCTTCAGTTGGTGACTTGCAGCAAGGCGACTTTGAGCATGTAGAGAGCTTTGCGCACAATGCCTGACAATGGCAGAATGGTGCTTGGTGGCCCACAGCAGCCTCAGCTCCCAGAAACACCACAGCCTGGAGTTACCCCTGAAGAGGCTTACAAGAAGGCTTACAAAGTCTTGAAGCAGGCCATCACATTGGGCAACAATGTGGACAAAATGAAGCTGCTCTCAGAAAGCCTGAAAAAGGCTTCAGACCAAGAGCAAGCCAAAGCCAGTTTGGTGGAAATTGGAAAATTGAACGCCAAGTTTGGCAGCAAAAAGGATGAATGGCTTGAAAAGGTTGCTGGCTTCCCACAGGCTTGGGAGGATGGCTCTGAGTCCACCGGTCCAAGGGTCACTGAATCCTTGGAAGCCTTGAAAAAGGAGCGCGACCAAGAGCAGAAAAGCCTGACAAAGGCTCTTGCACAACACAGGATGTGGGCAAAGAATGCGTCTGAGTGCGCAAAAAGCCGCTCTACACAGTTTTGACAGCCTGTGGAAAGGCTACCCATGGCCTAGAGAGCCAAACCCAGCGTTTGAAGAAAAAGCTGCTGCTAGCTGGGTTGGGAAGCTCAATGTTGTAATTGTGGGAATAGAGCCTGTGCCAGGCTAGCTGGGTTGTGGGTGTGATTTTTGTAAGATAAAACCAGTGGCAGCTTTTGTCGCTCAAAAAATGTTTGAGAAGAGGTTCTTTTGTGTCTTCATAGCCCCAAAAAGAAAATATGCAGAACATGGGGAGCCCCCGTAGGTTCCAAATCAAAAGAAAGAAGAGGATGCTTTTGGTGAGGAGCTGGTCGACCTCTATACTAGCAACAAGGTCTCAGCAAACAAAGCTTCCAACATTTTGAAGAAGGCCACGAAGGTTGGCTTGGAATTCAAGCAACCTTGGGCCAACCAGGAAATCCCTGCTATAGGCACAAAGCGAGATACTAATGCAGACAGGACAATGAAAAGGTTGCTCAATAAACATCAAGGATGGGGCAAGCTATATTGGGCAGAAATTCCTGTGATGAACCCAGTCTCAAAAGCCATTGACAACGCAAGCATGTTTCGCGCTCCCCAGTGGCACGGCACCACGCAAACGCAGTTTCCACCAAGGCCGCGCAAATCCGCATGGCACTGCGACATCACGGACGTAGTTCGCCACACGGTCTGCCCACACACAGAAGCAATCCTAGCACACGATACCGCCAATCATCCCGCTCACCAGCGACACGCCGCGTTTACGCCAGCATGTTTCGCGCTCCCCAGTGGCACGGCGCCCCGCAAACGCAGTTTCCACAAAGGCCGCCCAAATCCGCACGGCACTGCGGCATCACGGACGTATTTCGCCACACGGTCTGCCCACACACTAGAAGCAAGCCTATCACATGATACCGCGCGATACCGCCATTCATCCCGCTCACCAGCGACACGCCGCGTTTACGCCAGCATGCTTCGCGCTCCCCAGTGGCACGGCGCCACGCAAACGTACTTCCCACCAAGGCTGTGCAAATCCGCATGGCACTGCGACATCACGGATGTAATTCGCCGCACGGTCTTCCCACACACTAGAAGCAATCCTATCACACGATACCGCCAATCATCCCGCTCACCAGCGACACGCCGCGTTTACGCCAGCATGTTTCGCGCTCCCCAGTGGCACGGCGCCACGCAAATGCACTGTCCACCAAGGCCGCGCAAATCCGCATGGCACTGCGACATCACGAACGTGGTTCGCCACACGGTCTGCCCACACACTAGAAGCAATCACATCACACTAGAAGCAAACACTTCTGAGTCCAGCTCCACAACGCTGTTTCCCGCACTACATTTGTACTACAAACTGCCCTCTTCTGAGTCCAGCTCCGAAAAGCTCTTTCCTGTACTACATTTGTACTACAAACTGGCCACTTCTGAGTCCAGCTCCGAAAAGCTCTCTCCCGTACTACATTTGTAGCGCTACAAACTGGCCACTTCTGAGTCCAGCTCTGAAAGCTCTGAAAAGCTCTCTCCCGCACTACACTTGTACTACAAGCTGGCCACTTCTGAGTCCAGCTCCGAAAAGCACCCAAACCGCGCTCTCACCTGCATTTCGCGCCCTCGACACGCACGATCTCCGCAGAGGCGCCGGACCGGGCCAAAACGCAATCTCACCTGCATTTCGCGCCCTCGACACGCACGATCTCCGCAGAGGGTTGCGCCGGACAGAGACAAAACGCACTCTCGCCTGCATTTCGCGCCACGAGACAAAACGCACTCTCGCCTGCATTTCGCGCCCTCGACACGCACGATCTCCGCAGAGGGTTGCGCCGGACAGAGACAAAAGGATTTTCGCCTGCATTTCGCGGACTCGACACGCACGATCTCCGCAGAGGGTTGCCCGCGACCGGGCCAAATCGCACTCTCGCCTGCATTTCGCGCACTCGACACGCACGATCTCCACAGAGGCTTGCGTTTCGTGGTGCTCCGGCAGTGCCGCCCCCGGCCTTAAGAGAGAAAGCAAAGAAGAGCGAGAGGTGAAGATGTGAGATCTAAATGTGAGGATGTGAAGATGAGCAGAGATGTAGATGTGAGGATGTGAAGATGAGCAGAGATGTAGATGTGTGAAGATGAACATGAGCAGAGATGTAGATGTGAGGATGTGAAGATGAGGAGAGATGTAGATGTGCAGATGAGCAGATGAGGAGAGATGTAGATGTGTAGATGAGCAGAGAT